CATAGCTGTACACAAACAACTGATCACATCTTTTCAATCTTCATGAAATTCTGAAGGTTAGGCCTGACAAACCTCGTTGAATTTTTTGGAAAGATGATGAAGGTAGTTGACTCAGCAGTGGAAATATGTATGGACTTCCAGAAGGAATTTGATAAATCCCCTCAGAAAAGACTGATTGCTAAAATTGAAGTATGTGGAATTGCAGACAAATTAATGGACAGACTAAATTGACTGAGCAGCAGGATACATAGACCAAGACTAATAGGTAAGTACTCTAGTTGGTAGGATGTCACTGGTGATCAAAGTTTCCAAAAGATATGAAGGGAAACAGATAGTTTAGAAAGCAAGAAACTATTTCTACTGGTTAGGAAGTCTCCAACCAGGGGACAGTGTCCAAAAAGTAGAAACAAACATTTCATAAGTGCAATTAGGAAGCTGTGGCACTCTCAAAACGTGGCAGTAGATTGGAACTCTGTTTTGAAAATGGAAATTGATACTTGATCAAGCATTAATTTTAAATGAGATCAATCAATTTTTATTAAATGAAGATAAGAAGGGCTATGTGGCAAAGACCCATTAATAGAATTAGATTGTGTTATAATTCCCACATAGACTGAAAAGAAGACAGTTAAAAAGTTGAATATCCAGTGACTGAAATGACATAACAAAAAGAGATATAGAATTAAAAATTTTACTGCAACAAATGAACTAAAAGCAACACCATCTAAACAGTGATAACAAGGTGTAGAGCTGGATGAACACAGCAGGCCAAGCAGCATCAGAGGAGCAGGAAAGCTGACGTTTCAGGTCTGGACGCTTCTTCAGAAATGGGGGAGGGGGAGGGGATTCTGAAATAAGTAGAGAGAGAGGGGGAGACGGATGGAAGATGGATAAAGGAGCAGATAGGTGGAGAGGAGATGGACAGGTCAAGGAGGCGGGGATGGAGCCAGTAGATCCACTGAGGTCTTTCCGGAGGGAGGAGGGCAACTTCTTCAAGGTATCTCCTCATCATCTAAACAGTATTCACTAGACAATTTACAGACAATAAATTCCACATTTAGCTTTTAAAATGACAGAAAGTTGCTTGCTACAGTTATTCTTCACACTTTAGCTTAAGAGACAATTCATTCTCCAGGAACTAGTACCAAAGTAACTCTTAGCTTCTAATGGTTTGTTTCCTTTTCTTTCTTTCCCAGCCGGGAATCCCACAACTGACTTTCGCTGTGAGGGTTATACTGGAGAATCCTTCCTTTCAGCCTTTGATGGGCGAATTGTCAGTCTCTTTAAATCTTTGCAAACTATATCTTTTCAATCAGAGCACAATCTCCCACCCACATTTTGAATGTTAACCCACAGAGTCAACATTTTCTCTCTGGCAGGACTGGCTGCCTCTAACTCTTACTGCCTGTCAGATTGTTACAACCTGGTGAGTGTCTGTGAGTTTCAGTGACAACTAGAAAGAAACTGCAACCTGATATCACAATAGTTTTCTATTGACTTTTTCTCCTCCCAAAGCCCACCTCTCTGGCAATGTGAATCCAGGTAGAAGTGCTAATTAGTTAACTTCTAGATCCCAACTCCAATCCATCATGGAATTTAACAGACAGCTTAAGTATAACTGTTTCTAAAGCCTGATGTTCCTAGTACCTCTCTTTGAGACATGGCAACTAGCAATTGAGCCCCAATCAGTATTGTTGCATTTGAACAAAAACAGAAGTTGTTGGAAAAGCTCAACAGGTCTGGCAGCATCTGTGAAGAAAAATTAGAATTAATGTTTCGGGTCTGGTGACCCCTTCCTCAGAACAGACATTTGACATTGTTCATTGGTCTGAGCATCTTGAGCCTTCCTCCCAGTCAGTCATTCTGAGCCTGCCATGTCCCATAGCAACTGAGCCATCAATCTTTGTTGGGGACAATTCAGAGCAAGCTGATGACCCTGTCACTACTCAAGTTTTTCTTAAAGTAGTAATCCCCAAGCAAATCATCAGATTTATTATTATGTGTGACCAATTTATAAACTTTTTTTTAATCATATACAAACCATTACTTCCTTTGTCAGCTGCAAGTGACCGACCTTTCTCTTTGTTATAGATGCAGCATTGAAAGCATCCCATCCGGTTGCATTACAGCTTGGTATGGCAACTGCTCTGCCCAAGACCACAAGAAATTATGGAGAGTTGTGAATGCAGCCCTGTTCGTCACAAAAATCAGCCTTCTTCCATTGACTCCATCTATACTTACAGGTGCTTTGAGAAATTAGCCAACATAATCAAAGACTCCTCCCAGCCCGGTTATACTCTCTTCCACCCTCTTCCATTAGGCAGAAGATATAAAAGTTTGAAAACACGTACCAATAGATTTAAGAACAGCTTCTTCCCTACTGTTTTCAGACTTTTAAACAGACCTCTCATATATTAGTTTTGATCTTTCTCTGCAGCTTCTCTGTAGTTGTAACACTATATTCTATTACCCTGATGTCTTTTATGTAAGGTTAGATTTGTCTGGTTAGTATGCAAAACAATATTTTTCACTGTACCTCATTCCATGTGACATAATAAACCAAATCAAACTAAATCAAATCAAAATGTCGGTGGTTAGAAAGAAAAAAGGAAATGAAACAAGTTTCCACTGAATTTTTTCCTATAAAATTACAAAACAATTGGCACACAAGCAAATCAATAATGCAGTAGCAAACCTGTCCTATAAATTAATTACCTTCACTCTTTATTTCCCAACAAATTTCTACAAATAGAAGAAGACAAGTTTATCTGGCTGTAGCTGAAGATAATGGAGTAATAATTGTATACTTGAAATCCAAACTGATCTGCATGCCAACACACACAGATTGGAATTTGATTAATTCCTCCCAGCTCTGCACAACACTAACTATGCATTTCCCCACAAATATCTGCAAAGAAAATATAAGAAAATAAACACAGATTTTTACCTTATGGATTGTTGATTGTAGATGTTTGAGGTCTGTCTCTCTCGAAATGTCTTCAATGCCAATAAACTGTTCACAGTATTCCAGATATGCTCTGACTTGTGTAATATATGGTTTTAGCTTGACCTCCCTATTTTTACAGTCCAGTTCCCTTTGAAATAGAAATAAACAGTTCATTTGCCTTCCCAATTACCCGCTGAAATTAGATGCTAGCTGTTTGTGATTCATACAATTAAACCTCCAAAACCCTTTGTGCTGCAGCTTTCTGCAGCTTTTCCCAATTTAAATAATATTCAGGTCCTCTATTCTTCCTGCCAAAGTGTGCACTTTCCCACATTATATTCCAATCTGCCAAGTTTTTGCCTAATTTCTTAACCTGTCTATATCTCTTTGTGGACTCCTTGGTCATTCTCATTATTCCCACTTCCAACTATTTTTGTGTAATCTGCAAACTTGGTTTTTATGCATTCACTTACATCATTCAAGTCAGTAATAGATCTTGTAAATAATTTTGGCTCCAAACCTGATCCCTGTGGTACTCCAGTAGTTACAGCTTGCCATTCTGAGGCTATCTGCTTTACCTCAACACTATTAGTTAGCCAATCCCTTACCCATGCCAATATATTTCCCCAAAACTATCAGCTCACATTATGTAATCGTATGTGTTATATCTTACATTGGAAAGAAATATGAACCTGCAGACTGTGTGTGATCGCACTATAAAAGTAAAAGTGAAGTTGCTATAAAAATTGTTCACTACCCACAGTTTGATATCCATTTATAGCACTGCCCACAGGTTGGTTAGCTTGGATGACTTGCAATTCAGAGTAATGCCAACAGCGTGGGTTCAATTCATGTACCAGCTGCAGATACCATGAAGGAATCTCCTTCTCAACTTCTCCCCTCACCTGAGGTGTAGTGACACTCAGGTTAAACCACCACCAATGATGACTATCTCTTGAGAGAGCAGACCTTCAGTGTATAATTACACCATAAATATTATAAATGGAAATCAACCTGAGGGCGAATGTGCTCCAAATGTTGTAAAGGAATATCAACCCATTAGCTGTGTAAAATTGCATTATAAATATTATTAAGGAATATCAACCCGTGGCCAGTGTGTAACATAGAATCCATAAAGTGTGGAAAGCAGGCCATTTGGCCCATTGAGTCCACATCGATCTTCTGAAAAGTGTCTCATCCAGACCCATCCCCTTACCCTATCCATGTAACTTTGTATTTACCGTGGCTAACCCACCTAGCCTTCACACCCCCTGGGCAATACAAGGTGATTTGGCATGGCCAATCCACCTAACCTGCACATTTGTTCTGTGGGAGGAAACCGGAGCACCTGGAGGAAACCCACACAGACATGGGGAGAATGTGTAGACTTCACACAGTGCCTGAGGCTGGAATCAAACTCAGATCTGTGGCGCTGAGGTAGCAGTACCAACCACCGAGCCACCTTGCTACCTACCATGTGCTTTATGTGTAATAAAGGGATCTAATCCCTTGGAGATAGTAGGAACTGCCGATGCTGGTGAAGCTGAAAATAACAAGGTGTAGAGCTGGATGAACACAGCAGGCCAAGCAGCATTACAGGAGCAGGAAACGTGACATTTCGGGTCAGGAGCCTTCTTCAGAAAATTTTTGAAGAAGGATCCAGACACGAAATGTCAGCTTTTCTGCTCCTCTGATGCTGCTTGGCCTGCTGTGTTCATCCAGCTCTACACCTTGTTATCTAATCCCTTGGGTAGTATATGGCTATATTCTACGAATTATAAAGGAATACTTACTTGTGGCCAGTGTGTAACTGTGCTTTAAGTGTTATGAAGGAATATAATCCAGTGTGTAATGTATGACTACTGTGTTTATTATGAAGGAGTAGCAACTTGTGAGCAGTATGCTTTTTCTATGTAAACAAGGAAAACTGTCACAGGCCTGTGCGTCAGTGTTGCGAGGGGCGGAGCTATGGACACGTCCAGTATGCGCGATGACGCCACAATGAGGGCGGTCGCTCCCTTCCACGGGGCGGGCGGAAGAAGGGAGGCGGGGTTGATCACGTGAGCGGTGTCTACGCGCAACAGTGGAGAGCGAAGATGGCGGATGGCGAGAGCGAGCAGGCCCCTGAGCCTTTCACCGAGCGACTAAGGAGAGCCCAAGCCGAGCTGAGGAGGCGCGGCCTGTCCGAAGAGTCCTCGGTGCAGTACTGCCAGCATTTCTGCGAGGTGGGCCGATAGTTCTGCTGCGGTATATAAGAGTGAATAGCCGGATGGTGGCGGTGGTTTGGGGGGCGGGGAGGGAAGACGAAGGGTTGTTTTCTTGGGAGACTCGGAGCCGGGGACGGACGCAGGGTGGACGGGAAGGGATGTACTCTAGTGGGGTTTTTCTCTCTCTCTCACTGGGCCCGAGTGTGTGGGAGGACATTATAACTATCTTCTGTTCGCCACCCCTATCCCAATTACTTCGTCTGGCTTCTTCTCAGTGTATAATCATTGCGGTTCAAAAGTTAACCGTTAAACTAGCCCTTTTTTTCAAATGTTCAGCTCACGCACTCCAGTCTCGAATAGTTAATGGTGATTCTTGCACCCCCCCGCGCCCCCCCCGGCCAAGGTGTTGCTTCAACACCGAACAATGGCCTGAGAGAACAACCTTTCCAACACTCAACAGGGGCAAATGAGATTTCCAAATAATCCACCTTTTCAAATGAATATATTGCCATTTTGCACGAAGTGGGCGCAATCTCAAATCGTAAATCCTGGTGGTGAAGACTAGAGTTTTATAAGATAATGTAGATGTAAGTAGATCTGGTGCTGCACTGACTGATCGGATATGTTAACCTTTCTTCGAATGCTATCTGTTTAAGTCGGCATTTGCTGATTCGATTAAGCGTCTTAAATGCTCCAAATCTGTTGAAGTTTTGTGAATTTTGTTTTGCACAATTTAACTTTTTAGGAAGTTAGTCTCTCGTGAAGTCAAAAATATACTGAAATCCTGAGCCTCCATTTAAAAACGATGAAGCTGTAGTGGTTTGTTTATGTCATGTTGGGGTAATGGTGTTTAATTTTATTGGTCGTGTGTGTATCGCAGTTCACGCATGTGTGGGGCTTGTTTATTTGGTAGCGTTGAATACAGCAAAATAAATGTTGGGCACCAAATCTGTGCAAGATCATACAAATTGGTCATGTCATATTTAACTGAAATTCTAAAGTAAGGTTTAAATATTTTGCTTAGGGTTCTGTTTTATTTGACTAATCTTAATTGTGCATTTAATTTTCACTGCCGTTTTACTGTCTTGTATGTCTTTTAGTTTTTTTCAATGGCTTGTCATATTTTTTCTGTACTTCTAATAGTGTTTGAGTTTGCTCCAGTTTGTAAGATAAGGATGGATGTAAAATTGAGTGTAGTTCAGTGTAGATCACTTCTCTCATCCATTTGTAATTGTTGGTAGAAACAGGAAGTTGTACTGCTTAGACTTTAAGCTTTGCATTTTAGATTAAAATAAATAATCTCATACCAGCATAGTGGGTATGTGTAGTGTCAGAGCAGTGTGTTGAACTCAGTGATGCACAATTCCAAATGTTATGCATCACACCTGGGTTAAATTATTTGTATTTAGTCCTATTTTGTGTTGTTTAAAATTCTGCTACAGAAATGTTGCGAAATTCTGATATGTTGAAGGGGATTATTGTCTCTGAATTCTGGAACTTTGAGGAGTAGAATTTAATGAGATCACAATAGGTGGGAGTGTAACACACGTTCTCTTATTTGCAATAAAAGTTTAAAAGATTAAATAAGTTGTGTAAATGGCATTTTGTGACACTCGTAATATTCTGCTGGAAGATATTGCTCTGAATGCCTTAATTTATATACATTTCAATGGGAGCTGCTTGTTTACTTTTTTGCTGTAACACGTGAATTGGGAGCATGGGTCGACTGCACGGCCCTTGAGAATGCTCTGCCACTCAAAACCATGGCTGATTGCTCCACATTTCATCCTATTTCTCATAACCTCTGACCTCCCCACCCTGATTTTGCTTTAACTGTATTCAAAGCCTTTGCTTTCACAATTTTTGAGAGAGATTTCAGATTGTTGAAAAAATGTTCTCCTTATCTCTGTCTTAAATGGGCAACCCCTTTTGAAAGTAGAGATTTTTTAAAATTGGAAACACCCTTTATTCTGCCAGTGAAGATCCCTCAGGATCACATGTATTTCATACAGTTGTTGCTTACTGTTCTAAATTCCAGTGGATACAGGTCTCCAACATTTTCTGAGACAGTGCGCATAATATTGTTTACTTGATTCGTTCATCTAAATTTGGAGCTTCATTCAGGTGTGCATGCTTCCCTTTTTGCCAATATGCAAACAAACCAGACATTACTGATTTTCTGAAGAAGGGTCCAGACCCGAAACGTCAGCTTTTCTGCTCCTCTGCTGCTTGGCCTGCTGTGTTCATCTAGCTCTATACCTTGTTATCTCAGACGTTACTGATGGAGCAGTTAGTTTAAAAAAAAATTAACATGGGGTTTGGGGGTTACAAATAGTCCAGCTTCAACTTGCAACCTTCTAGGAGAAAGGTGCTGTCTCAAATCTTAAAACTAGATAGTGAAAACTAGCATTTTATAATTCTGATATCCTCTAGTTTTGGACTCCCCTACCCTGGAGGAAAAGACCTTGGCTAGTGACAGTATTTATGCCGCATGATTTTATAAACTTCTGTAAGGTCACCCCCTCAGCATCTGACATTCAAGGGAAAATAACCCCAGCCTCTCCCTATAGTTCAAACCCTTCAACCCTGGCAACATTCTTGTAACTCTTTTCTGAACCCTTTCAAGTTTTGCAGCATCTTTCCGCCAGCAGGGAAGCCAGAATTGAATGCAATATTCCAAAAGTGGCCTAAACTGATGACCCGTATAACCGCCACATGACTTCCCAACTCCAATAATGCACTGAGCAATAAAGGCAAGTGTACCAAATGCCTTCTTCACTACCTTGTCTACCTATGACTCCATTTTCAAAAAACAATGAACCTACACTCCAAGGTGTCTTTGTTTGGCAACACTCCCCAAGACCTTACCATTAAGTGTTGAAGTCCTGCCCTGATTTGCTTTACCAAAATGCAGCACCTCAATATATCTAAATTAAACTATCTGCCACTCCTCAGCCCAGTTACCCATCTGATCAAGTTCCCATTGTTCTGAGGTAACCTTTGCTGTCCACTACACCATTGTTTCTGATGTCATTTGCAAACTTACTAGCCATAGCTCCTATATTCACATCCAAATCATTTATATAAATGACAAAAAGCAGTGGACCCAACACCAATCCTTGTGGCACACTGCTGGTCGCAGTCTTCGAGTCTGAAAAGTAACCCTCCACCATCACCCCCTGCCTCCTATCTTCATGCGAATTTTATACCCAAATGGCTAGCTCTAACTGGATTCCATTTGATCTAACCTTGCTAAGCAGTCTACCATGTGGAGCCTTGTCTAATATCTTGCTGAAGCCCATATAGATAACGTCCTCTGCTCTGTCTTCATCAGTTTTCTTCATCACTTCAAAAAAATCTCAATTAAGTTAATGAGACATGATATCCCCACGCAAAGCCATGTTGACTATCCCTAATCAGATCATATTTTTCCAAATACATATGAAGCATGTCCCTCAGAATACCCTCCAACAACTTATCCGCCACTTCAATTAATTTGTCAATGTTTTTTTATCCTGCCATGGCCTTACCCCTTAAATTTACTGCATCTGTGCAACAGTCTGAGACCCTCTGTATTCTTCTAACTCTGATTTCTTCAGTATCGTGATTTTAATTAATTTGTGCTGGTAGTGAATGACCTGAGGACGTGGGATTCCCTTACTATCGTTTTTTTTTCACTTCTCTTTATAATGCTCCAGAAAACCTACCTCTTTGATCTAACATTTGATCACCCTTTCTAATTGTTCAATGTCATTCAGCATCTAGTATTTGCTAATTTTCAAACAAAGAACCAATGTAAGTTGTACTTCCATGCTAGTTTTGCTAGCTCATAATGGATACAGCTACGGGCATCATAGAAGTATGAATACCTCATGAGTAAAACAGTTGGTTGCCCTTAGTGATTTTGGCAAGTTTTATCTTTGCTAATGGCTATCAGACGTCAGGTGTCAGTGATAATAAAGCAAGAGATACTTGTTCTGCTTTGAGATAACATGATACTAATGTTTGGAAAGATTTTGGCTGTGATAGTAAATTTGAATATTTTGTAAGAACAAATTGTTGTGTGGATGACTTGTGCAAAAAAGATGTATCGTCAGAATAATATGGGTAGTTCTGATAAGTTTCCTTCGTGTTAAGGTAGACCTTGTCTAAGGGGTTGTCTAATGACTATTTAATATACCATTATGCATATATTAGTGTCCCTCATGTAAACACAACTCAGTTTCCCATTTACAGCATGAATTTGCATCCTTATATAACATATTTGTTGGGACTACTTTTAAATGGCAATAACTCTCCTGGGAAATATTGTTCCATTTCCCAACAGAGGAGAATTTTTCTTCAGCTATACTTTGTGGGTAATGGTTCACTGAGAATGCGTATATTGAGTCTCGTGGCAGTATACCATTTAATAGATTGAAGCTAAATGATATAGTTGCATAGTTATGGACTAGGTTTATTTGGATCCAAGATAGACATGAAATAAGAACCAGATTGAGGTCCAGACAGATTAATCACAACGCAGCGCAGTTGCTAAGCAAGGTGTCATAGGAGAGGTTTGATTTTTGGAAAGTGATAGGATCAGTTTCCTACTTTGAGATCAGTTAATTCAACACAGTGCGGAAGTGATCTGGATTTCCAATTCTGATCTGTTTTACATCCTCTGGAGCAGGTATTTAGATCAGAGAAAAGCAGACTGCTGGCTGTTATGACACCCACTTAAGCAAAGGTATGAATACTGGCCAATCGGTTCTGTTTCTTCCAACACCACCAATAATGTTTGACTTCTACTAGGTTACAAAGCAGCTCACGTCTGCTGCCTTTTTTTTTTGCCCTAAAGGCCATTCTGAATTGAGCCAAGAAAGTGCAATGTTCTGTGGGTGTCAGTTTAAAAATCGGTCTTGATTATATTCTTAACCGAATCCTTTACACTGGCGGTTTCAGATGCACTTGAGACAAGGGCACTCAGCTTATCATAACTTATTCTCCTGAAGCTCCCAAACAGTTCCTCCCTCCAT